TGATGGATATTGTTTTTTTTTTCTTACAAAATGTGAGTTATAAATTGAGTCTGTCTTTAAGAAAGAAAAAAAACAAACCAAACCTCTACCTGAAAACAACTTGGCTATTTATAACTTATACTTTTAGTATATCCAAAGAGAATTTTGATCCAGAAGTAATTGCTATAAATACTGAACCATATAATATAATATATGGGTGGCACATTACTTTTTTTTCAGTATTAAAATATTGGCCAAAAAATTCACATTTTCTATTCTATTTTTGCACATATGGTAATGAATTCTTTAATAAAATATACATTAATTTCCATATTTCTCTCATTCAACTTTCTATATAAATGCTTTGGCCCTACAAATTTATTATGGTCAAAGACACCCAGAATGTGCAAGAAAACTCTCTTGTTTATACAATTCTTTTATTTTAGGGACTGCTGACTCCCAGGACCTTCATCACCTTAATAAATTGAGTACTTCTTCAATATCTGACTCTACAAGGTTGAATATTATCTTCATTATTTCCTCGTCTATATAACCAGGGACCAGGTCCACCATAGAGACCAAATGGTGCTGGTAGGCACAGATATTAATACTAATACACATATTAATATCTAATACAGATATTAACACTAATTAAGAATAATTTCCAAAGTATAATCATCCAGTTCTGTTGCCAGATGTACAACTGTCCATGTGTCTGCCATAAGGCGTATGCTGTTGGTCTGAGATCAGTTACACAAGAAATATGTATCACTTGCTAATACTAACGTGTCCTCATAATAACTTTCTTCTTCATCAATTCTTATATGGCCTGAAAGCTTCGCAGGCAAAAATTTCATGTTTTTTCAGATTATCATTAAAAATACAAAGTGGCTGTCAGTAAAAATAACACTTTACCTCGGAACATAGTTTCCTGAGAAATTTGATGATGAATGCTCATGAAGAATTATTATTTTACCAATTTAAATTGCAAACCTTATTTTGAATGAAGACCTGAGCTGAAAACAAACAAGCAAGTTCCTAATAGCTAGCTACAAAATAGAAATTACTGTGTGATATATTTTTTTAATTGTTCTTCTCATCACTTTCTTCTCTTTTAATAAGCCCTATGTCTCAACTGTCTGTAAGTTAAGATTAAATAAATATACTCCTGTATATTCCATTTTTAAAAAGAGGGGTTCCTAAGTCATCAAGATGACAATGAGTATTTGCCTAAAGAAATGAAATTTAGCCTGGGGATCAGTCTTACTGTGTCTCTTAGTGCTGCAGTGAAATTGGTGTTGATGTGTGAAGTAGGCTAAGGGTTTACATGAATTCATGGTGAAATCTGTAACTGTTGTCATAAATGTCTGCTTTATATTCTTTGTGGTTCTCTGCACGTGTCTAGCTCACAGGAATTCCAAAATGAGTGACAGTCCACAGGGAGTAAAGCAGAACTTGAAAATGTCCTTCTCTTTCTTTTTCTTTAATTAAGTGAAGATGCATATGTAAGCAAGACTTCAAAGACATATATATATATATACACATAGGTATATAATATATATATATATGGAATGAGCCTGTCTGTCCCACCATTTGTAAATATATATAAGGATACTTTTAAAAAGGTATGGATAAAAGATATATTGAATAAAAATTTCACTGTTGGTTTGCCAAGCAACAAAATATTTTTGAATTTTCTGCATTTGTCAAGTGCTCTTTACAAATATTTTAATGTCAACACTGCCTCCTACCTCTAGTGTTAAGTGGAATGTGCAAAAAAAGAGAAACACTTGGTGTATGGAAATGACAAAATCGAGGTTACACATGCAGCATGAACTTGACTTCCTTGTGTGCGCATATTTTGATAAGGTCATTTATTATTTGATCACATAAGTATTTGACTTTTGTTCTCCATTTAATTTCAGGTCAAAATCAAACTGTACAAGTTCAGATCAGTATGAGTTAGGTCTCCATTGGGCAACAATAAAGCAAGTTTTGATCAACCTGAGTGAGCTAACATCCTTTGGAAAAGTTGAGAGTTGTCTTGTGAAAGATGCCATGGGTTAAAACTGAGTACTCTGGGCTTCTGCTTTGCTTGAAATGTTACTACGCCTCTCAATGGCTTTCTCTGTTCTGTCATAGTAAATATTCATTCAAGTATTTCCTGATCTCATAAGAGTGTTCTGAGAATAAATTCATTACTCCTTATGAAGCACAATGATATTACGGCAATGACATAGATAGAAGCCTATGAAGAAAAATAAAAGCTTATTTGCTTCAGGGCTTAGAGGATATGTTGTAAATACAATGTGGAGCCACATGTTGAACATAAGGATAAAAGGAAATATCCAGGTGTTGCTTAGCACTTTGTCCTCTGTACTTCGAGAGGCTCAGGAGAGGGAAAGGGTGGGAGGAAAAAATAGGGTTTTTTTCCTACAAGAGTTTTTACAGCAAACTAGTATGTGATGTGCGCAAAGCACAGGACAGAGGAAATGTTGGAGATTTTATTAACAGCTCTTCAGTTACAGTTGTCATGAAACTTATTCAAAACTGAATTAAAATTTTACCCATAGTCTCTTTGAATGGACCTCTTCCAAATACAGGGATTTAGGGATTTTGGGATGCATAGAGAGGTCAATTTATAATGCCTTATGCCACGACTAATTGATCTGTTTACATATATATGTATACATACATATATATGCATAAACATAAATATCTTAGAAGATAGTTTTGCATATATTATGAACATTTCTCAGTAGAGAGTAAACACTTTCAAACATCGCAGATCCTCACAAGGCATTAAGGCTTTGTGATACTTTATGCTATTTTCTCCCTTTTTGATAGTAGCTGAAATAAAGAAAATGGCTTACAGATTTAGCTGTGTATATAGTTTGAAAGTAACAACTGAAAAATGATGTTCATAATCTGAATTGCAATGAAACCAATTATCTGTACCATGGTGTTTCACTTGGGAATACTCTGAAAGGTTTAGTATTTCTTAAAAGAAATTAAAAACAGCTGTAAAAATACCATAAAACAAAAATAGCAGCTGCAAAAGAGATTAACATTCCTAAATTTCATTTGAACTTGAGATGCTATTTCTCCAACAGAAACATACATATATACTGATTTTTAAAATCTATTCTTTATGAAACTATATCCATTTAAGAAAAAAAAGTGTTTTGTTCGTTTTTTTTCATTTCACCACTTCTTAATGTTACCTATGAATTTCATGAACATTCTTCCCCTCTGCCTAGGAATTTTGTATTACACTTTCTTCTGTAATTGTCAAAGAAAAGCTACAATTGTTGAATCTTGAAGAATGATTTAAATATAATCCATTAAGAATTAAAGATATGCCTAATAAACAATTTATAGCAATCCTTGCACTTTTGTTACTTACAGCTGTCAAACAGCTTTCAAACTGAGCTCAAATCACCCTGTGCCTGTTTTAAAATTTTATATAGCGTCTGTTTTCCAATTAAGCAGCCAGTCTTAGATGAAACCTTTCCTAATCTTTTTCATATATATAATAAAACCAAATGTAATTTATAAAACAGGACTGGAGGTGCTGACAGTATAAAACAGTTTATTTTGCAGTCTTGGTCAAAACATATGGCAGCAACTTTTCTAGACTTCTGCCAGATGGCGGGCCCTAATCGATTTTGTCTGTTGTGCTGTATGTTAATTCTCTGTGAAAAGTGTTTCTTCAAACTCAATTAAAAAAATAATGACTTTCATTTTCTTACTGAGCAACTAATGTTAAAACTGTGATTTAGATGCGTCTGGTTAAGTTCGAAAAGTTTTTGAAAGCCCCAAGATATTTACACAACAGGTAAAATTGATTCTAATGGTCTTGAAAGCTGTGATTGTTATTCATCAGCTTATGTATCATTTCATGTGAATATGAATAAATTTACCTTTATGATAATATTCCTTATCTTCCATTTTTGTTTTTCTTGTGGGTTTTTTTTAACTAATGATAGTGTTTCATTCTGTAAATTAGAGTAATTTTGAACACCAAAAGACCCCAGAGAAAATTCTCAAATCGACAACGGTAAACTCATTACTTCAAACTGTAAATACATTAAACTAGAAGAGAATAGCATCTATCTCTACATCTCAGTAAAGATACTGTTTGATGCAATAGCTGTTATAAACTTTAACTACTGGTCTACCCAACACAGTTTGGTGTGCTTCCTACATCTCCCATATTATAATATTATATTTTTTGTGACCATACAACATTTAATAAATGTTCACAAAGGCCAGTCTCCAAGGTTATTTTAACAGGCAATTTTTGCTATGGTAGAGTATCAAATTTCCTCTCTACCCAATAAATAATGAGGTATTAATTTTTGATAAAGGTGTTTCCTGATGGGCAAACATTGTGGACACAAAATCTTTAAATTCTACTAAAATTCTAGCAGTTATATTTTCTATGTATTTTGATGAGTAGGTTAATAATATGGATGCTTTAATAAATACATTTAAAAAAAATCTGTGAGGTAACGGAAAATGTTGTAAATGTTTATAAATTTTGGTCTCTTTTTACCGCCATTGTTCTTTTGTTATACATATTATTTATGACACAGGCTTAGATTTTGAACTAAAATAAGATGTGTGCACAACAGAAATCAAATGAAAGGAACTAGTCCCCAGAGAAATACGCAATCCTTTTGTAGAACCTAGCTTTAATGTAGACCAGTACTTAGCATATTCACAACTTATGAAATGGGTGTATGTTGAAACAAAATATCAACCAGATCTATTCTCCTCACAATGTTTATTTTATGACTACTTTCTTTTGAAATAGAGCAGGGTAATGGTAATATGTATGTAGACTAAATAGGTTGTGTTTTCTCCAGCAGTAATCCCTCACAAGTACAAGGCAGAAACACTGTGTTTTTCCAATACAATCCAGCAAGGGCAAATGACAGCCTTACCTGATGGCTGATATCTTTTATAGTATAGCTGTGACATATTTTATGCATCACAAAGAATGATCAAATGTTTCTCTGGAACCTTTCTGTCATGGAATGTGGCCCCATGTCCCATGTATGCCTTTACTTTGGCCTATAATACACCTAAATACTAAATTAAACATTTATTACCAATCGGTAATTATTCTGTAATCAGGCTGCATTTAAGAACAGAGTAAAATATTTATTTTGTGTTATATTTAAAATTTATTGGATTTTAGTATATGATAATGATTGGAATATATTTAAGATAAATAGTGCACATACTTAGTAATAAAAATGCCATGGTAGGCAATTAATTAATTTTAAATGGACCATATGCTTATATTTTGGAAAATAAAATAGAATACAGCTTGGATGTACGTGGATTTTGGAATTTAATGTTTTAAAGATTCTTACTTATAAAATTATGTTGATATATTTGACACAAAGCCTCTTAGCAATTTAACTATCCTGAGTTCTTCATTATGTTAAGTATTTTTAAAGCAAGGTTCAAACACAGATTTGACATCTAATGCAATATATATTTTAGAGTAAGAATAGTGCACTTCGCTGGTCACAGGGTTGGTTCTCCACACAGACTTCTCGTGTCATTTGAGAGATCTAAGGTATCCAGTAAGATGGATTGTAAAAGTGACAGTTGCCTTGCCTCTGTGGAAGGGAAGTGGGAAGCTAGGAGCACACAATAAGTCTTCATAACAATGATGGTTATTTAGCAACCAGTTCAAAACCTGAATGAAAGGCAAGCCATAACAACACATGGCTCTCTTGACAGGGCAAAGAAATCTGTTCTGCATATTAACTGTGTTTTAAAGTAAACTTCTCTTATGCAATTTGGGTTTAGTCATAATTGGAAGGGGGCAGACATCAATATTTATAGCCATTAAGCATCAGTTATGAGGGCAATATATCACTATTACAGTAATAGAGGAATTTGATCCGGGCAGAACTCAGGAGGAGACCTCTCATTGTTTCACCAAGCAAAGCTTGTGGGTTTGCTTTTCCATTTTGAGATTTTTTGGTTCCAGGACTCAAATGCTTTTGACTTTGTATCTCACTGACATGATTGGAGCACTCCAAGAGATCTGTTAGGAAGACCTCTCCTGCTGAAAGAATAGAAAGCAATAGGAATTGACTTGGCCCACAACTTGCCCATTAGAAACTTAGATATTACTTTGGAAAGCACTATAATAAAAAATAGCATAATAACACTAAATAGAAAATATTACCAAACTGTGCTCTTATGGAGAAATTAGATAAGATTCAGTCATAGATTCACATCTATGCAGGGTAATCAAGAAGGGTTTTTTTATCAGTTAATGGCTTACACACTCTTCAACCAGTGGCAAGTGTTAGACTTTTAATTTTTTGTCTTTTATATATTCCAGTGTCTATATACCATTTTCTGCTGCACCAAAAGATGGGGACTGAGTTTTCTTTTCTTACAATACCTTTTGTACCTTGCACAGGTAAGTAGTTGCCAGTCAGACATCATGTTCATCTGCAAATTTCTATTTCTTTCTTCACTCTAGAGTGTTTCTTCTGTTCATCCTTACATACCTTATTTTGGCCAACACTGTGTAGACAAAACTCTCTCCTTTTTTTCTCAGCAGTAGCCCTGGGAAGGCATCATTTTTAAGTGGCATGAATCATGAGCTTCATTTCTCTTTGAGACACCTAAAGAAAAGAGAAGGTGCTTTGATTAGTGAGGTTTAGAAAATGGAAGTAGCATTTGAAGGGAAAAAAATAGAAAGTGGACAGAAAAAAAGATAAAAAGAGGATAAAAAAATGCATTTTCTGATTTTTTCTTTTCATAATCTTCCTTTAAAATACTGCTCAATAACAACACTTTTCCTATTGCAGTAATGAAGTGCATTATTTGCCAATGTGACCAAAAAATTCTCTTTATGGATAGAGGAAAAAAACAAATAAATTTCTTGGGAAATTTCCTGAGTGGGAAGTCATAATTAAATTCTAAGATCCTTTTTCTATGTCTCACAATCTAACACATAAGAGCAGAAGAATTGAGAACTATCCCGACCTACTTAATAGAACCTTTCAAGTCCAATAAGAAGAAAGCAGACAATATCCCAAGAAAGAAAAATGCTCTTCCTATACGATTGTCAAGGTTAGATTCAAACCACTGAGATTTTTATTACTTTCTATGAGTTTCCTTGCTTCTATGTGGAAAAGGAGAGCAGACAATGTTTACAACACTTGAGCTGCTTTCAGAATTCAGTGAGGGCAGCGTAATCTTAGAAGCACATTATACAGCACAGTAAGTTTGGGAAGAAGACCTTAGTTAATGGATCAACTAAAGTCATGTATTTAAAGAAATACAAAATATTCACATCTTACCAAAGCCATAAGTATTTTCAATTTAGACATTTCTGTAACAAGCTTTGATTAGTTTTTTTTTTAGGTTTTTTTTTTTTTTTTGTGGGTTTTTTTTTTTGTATTTTTTTTCTTTTCCTTTTTCTTTGTTTTTTTTTTTTTTTTTTTTTTTTTTTGTGGTTGTTGTTGTTGTTGTTGTTTTGTTGGTTTTTTTAAATAGGTTTGGGGTCCTGGTTTGGATTTTACACTTAGAAGCCACTCTTACAATCAGCAAGAAAAATTCTCTACAGAGAAAGTATGGAGAATTTCAGGGTAGAGACCTGTTTTCATTCAGGGTAGAGACCTGTTTTCATTTATTTCTAAACTGTTGGTCTACACTTGTCAAACCTAATATAGATTATATGGTTCATGAGAAAGAAAAAATCATGCTCAGGTAATTTTTAAACACTGAACTCTCCTCTCCTCTCCTCTCCTCTCCTCTCCTCTCCTCTCCTCTCCTCTCCTCTCCTCTCCTCTCCCTTTACTCAGATTTACTTAAGTTTTTTAAGGGCCAATAGCCCTCAAAGCATTTCTAGTGCATCACAGTTCTGACTTGCCATATATTTATTTATGACCTTTGTCAACAACAGATGAGCAATTGTACCTAAATTGCATGGTGATCATGTGGCATGGGTAATTATCCACTAGAGTTTGGGAAGGGAATATCAGACAACTTCTCATCTAAAACAGAATTAGAAAACAGGTTTATAGTGGTATACCAAGACAAAGTTGTAAATGTACTTTGGTTAAAATATATACCTGCAGTACTATCTTAATTAATGGAGAATCCTAGGGTTCAGTTAATTTAACAATCAAATACATAGACCTTTTTTTTACACAGAAAATATATACTAATATTTCTATATTTCATTAATATAGGATCCATATTTCAGCTGGAAAATCTCTCACAGAAGCTGAGCAATCAGCCTCTCTGGGTATGGTATAGTAATGTACTAGCTTGTGTGTATGAGGTCTTATTATAGAGATGTCAGTTTTAGTTTGAAACATAAACATATTTTTATTTATACATTAGTGATTATAGTGATCAATGACCATCTGTGCAGTATATTAGAATTTGGTTTTGATCAGTAGAAAGCAATTATTCATAAAACTCAAAACAGAAGGCAAAGTTGTGAAAGAAAGGAGAAGAATTATGTCCTTCTTACAGGGAAGGTAATTTTAATATAGACGAGATTGGCCCAAGTCCTGCAGTTTGGATTGATAGATTATCTAGCAGAACTATCATTTCAATAATCTCAATGACAGTGTAGCAGTGGATACTTGGTACAATATTATAAATTAAATTTACTGCAAATGTCATTGAAGAGAATATGGAAAGAGATCTGTCATTTGTATTTGTAGAAGTTAATATAGGGAAAAATTTAAGATTCTTTGACAAAACATAACAAAAATGATCTACATGATATAGTTATGCTACCAGTTGTCTAAAAGAATTCTTTCGTTACTACTTTGCTCATTAGGATTCTTGAATTATCCTAATATTTGTTTGATCAGAGAGGGATTATATCCTTTTAAACACAGATATATTCTTTATTAAATTTCTGGATTTAAGAATATCCAACATCCATTTTTCAGAAGCACTTTTTTTTTTCAGAAAGTATGAACAGCCTCTGTCTAATTACAGTCTACTTATGCAACTGTAAGCTAACTATGAATTGGAAAATAAATATTCACCTCCATACAGAGTTATATGTTGGCCTGACAGTGATGTTTGCAGCATATATACACGTTGGTGGTATAACAGTTCTGGAACACACGGGACTAAGGAAAAATAATAAAAGAATTCTTTCAGTTTGCAGTCTTTGTAGCCTTTCTTTGCCATCAAAAGGTCATAAATAATGTAATCTAAAAACTATAAGTAAAACTTGCAAAAGACTTGAATTTGCAGGCACCTGAAAATTGTTTGCAACACATTGGAGCTAATTCTCTTTGAAGTTAGAATTTATAAGTTGAGATGAACTTCCTTCCCTAAGGGAATTTATTGGGAATTATCTTTGAAAGCAGAAATCTGCCATTAGTATAAAGTGCAATTAATGCAAAAAAAGCCTACTTGTTGTGTTTTGTAGTGTTGTGATTTGTTTAGTTTGGGTCTTTTTTTAAGGGATGCTGAAATCCAAAAAATGGACCTAAAAATAAAATATATTTAAATTTAACCTTCATTATGTCATATCTATATCTACAAAAAATATATCCGCATATTTTTAGATTAATCAGCAAGCTGGAAAATGTAAGAGATCCAATAAGTATTAATTATGCTAGTTTTAACGAATAATTGAAATAAAAAATGGAATTGTTCTAACCAACGTCCAACGCAAAATGTATTCCTATAGAGAGGATATCAGATGGGTCCCTAGAGACCTCAGTTCTATTTTAAGCCTGCTACTGGCTTACTTTGAAACTCTTGGCAAACCACTTAACATTTTTTTGCATAATTTTCTCCACCTAAATAATGACAAGTTTCATAAGGTACTTTGGAAGCATATACTTCCAATAGGTGTAAACGAGTATTGTTGAGTGCATAGTCATTATTTGTAATATAAATAACTCATAAAGTTATGAAAAAATGCTCAACATCTAGATTACTATGAGATTGTTGGTACTGCTCTGCCTAATTTCGAACTATGTTGTACCTTCATAATAAACACTTGCATGGCTGAAAATATGTCCTCTCTTGACTCTTAAGACAAAGAAAATCAGAAAAAATTGCACATAACTATATTTTTCCTTATTTCTGTCTTTTTATTCCCATTTTCCTCCTACTTTCTTCAATGTTGCCAGCAGGTCAAGATCCTTTCCTGCTACTCAGCTGTGGTGAGACCACACATGGACTGCTGAGCCTAGTTCCGGGGTTCTTAGATCAAGAAGAGAGCCCAACAAAGGACCGCAAAAATGATCCAGGCACTGGGGAATCCCTCAGAGGTAAACCTGATCAGTTTGGAAAAGAGGGCACACGGTAGAGATCTCATCAAATGTGTATAAATACCTACAGGCGTGATGAGGGGCAATGGCAAAGAGGGCAGAACAAGGACCAGAGCCAGTGGTCAAAAACTGAGACAGGAAGCTCCATTTGAAAATCAGAAAACATTGTTTTTCCATGACAGTGACCAAGCACTGGCACATTCAGGTGTCAGTTGTCACTCAGAGAGCTTGTAGCATCTATTCTTGATGATATTCAAAGATCACATGGATGTGTTCTTTGGTAGTGCGTTCTAGGTGGTCTTGCTTGAGCAGGGATTTGGGACAAGAACGTTCCTAGAGGTCCTTTCCAACCACAACCATTCTATGATTCTGTGATTTCAGATATTAGTAATTTGCCATTCAAACACTTCAGCATTTACATTTTTTTCTGAGGTACTCCCACTCCACCAAAAGCACATTTCCCCAACTATTTCATATTCTAAAAATTTGATTACACTTATATAACAGTGACACTTACTAAAGACATATATTGTGCTGTCTGTAATTCATCAAGGAAAGCTAGATCAAAAGAATTTCTCGTAATTCCAGAATATGCCTGCACTTGCAATGTGAACTGAGTGTGTTTATTGCATGTATAGTAATTAAGCTGTTGTGGAAAATACCATACCAATTATTTCAAACAATCCAAAAGGAATGTATAACATTAAATGAATCTGCTTCTGCTGTAACATATTAAATAATTAAGAAAAAAAAATGGAAGGAGAAAGGTGCTACTGTCACATTGAGAAAATCTGATATTTTGATTGATTCTATCTATATCTATCTATCTATCTATCTATCTATCTATCTATCTATGTTCTGTTGAATATCATGTGTCTCTTTTTCTCTTTCAGTTATCCTTTCCTGGTGGACAAGAAATTGGTAAGACTTTCTTAGTCACCAATGGGTGCAGTCTGGTTCCATTTGTCTAGAAAATTGAAACCAGTGTGTCAAAAGGGGATAGAAAATCTGTCATGACCACAAGGATGTAGAGGATGATAATTCAAAACAGCTTGCAGTGACTGCCATCTTTAAGCCAAAGCTCATATTTACCACTGAAAAAATATAGATTATTACTTCTACACAGGGTTCTTTGTCCTCACATTTCTTTGGAACTATTCCTTAATTCAAATACTTTAGCAAATATATTTGACAATTATTTTAATTTCCAACACAGTATTTATACAATTGCAATAATAATCAGACTTGCTATCCTTTGGGGAATCTACTATCAAGGAAAACATTAAAAAGTAAAAAATTTCTGGATGCCCCTAGGATGAACACATTATTTGAAATACCCCTCATTTTAAGACCATTGAGTACATATGACTGAACAATTACGTCATACCCTTGTCTGCTGACATAGCCAAAGCAACCTTCAAACACATAGAAAAAGCCTTTAGCACTTTAGCCTGTACAAAGCACAGCTCAATGCCATATAAGGAGTTTTTTACAAACTCTTATTTATATCACTGTTTGCAATTGTTGACTTTTTTTCTTAGTTATTAGAGCAAAAATATGCTATGCTGATTATAGAAAGAATTTGTTTTGTTTAAGTTGTTGGGGGAGTTTTTTTGACACATTTCAGTATGGTTCATCAAAGCATGAAATGACTATGATTTATTGCAGAGAGCAATTTCCAGCTGAGACAAAGCTATTGGAACTTCTACTGGCCCAGCTGGAAGGAGGGAATTTTCTTGGAGTAAATAAGTAATTTTCTTGTGGAGTAAATAAGTACAGACTCTAAGTGTCCTACTTTTAGTTACAACCACAGTAATATGCAGAACGTATGTGCATACTAAATCTAATCACCAGTACAGACATGGCTAATGAATTACACTTCCTGTAATATTCAACCTCCATATGGTAGGTACAATATTTATCACGCCATATGCTTGATACCACGGACAAGAGTACATTCTGTAAACATGATTATGACACCTTTTCATTGATTCAAGAAGTGGCATTGAAACAGAAACTGTTTCAAGCTTCTGCCAAGATGGAATAGCTGAGAGGAAGTCAGTAAAGTATTACCAGAAGTTTCCCCAGCAGGAATGTTTTTCTCCAAGGAGACCTCAGTATCAAAACAAAGAACAACTCATCATGGCTAAAATACCTCAAATGATTTCACAATGGTGAATATTATCATTTTTAGTTGAAGATTTTATTGTCAGATTAATGTTTCTCTATTACACCTGCTATCCTCAGTAGATGTCCATAAACTGTAACAAAAGTACTGATATCTAACCCATATGGAGGTACTTATGCGCAGGCATCATCTGGAACTGAATCAAACTTTTCATGGGGATTCAGTGGCTTAAACACAAGCTCCTGATCCCATTAGCAAGTCCAAAAGTCTCCAAGTCATCCGCATGTAGCTATCACATGACACACAGGATCTGCAGAAGACTCTACCCTTCTTCAACAAATTTTTAACTTGTCTGATCAGGCAAGCAAATTTTGTCCTTACTGTTTTATACAGCTGAGATTTTAAGAGTTCTTGGCTATCACGAATCTATGAAAATAACTTTGAACTACTGCCTTTATGTTTTCTACCCTGACTGCATGAAAATCTGGTCCCCTATATTTTTTTCCCCATAATGCTTGTAGTGACATATAGTTTAACGTATAACTTCTTATCTAAATACTGATGTAATGTTGGTTTTGTAAACATTATTCAGATCATACCTAAATATCTGCAAAAAAATATTTTGTGTAGATTATCTATACATCAAATATTTTTCCCATATTAAAAAAATCTTTTAAGTGCTGAAAGAGCCATTATTCCTTTCATAAATTTTGGAAAACACTAGTTTGTTTTTTCATTTACAAAAAGACTAAGATCTGTCTTCAGAGATTATTATGAAACTTAAAACATTCACAAAAAATGATATAAGAAAATATCAAAAATATAAATCACCTTTTGAAAAATAAACCAGATTTTCTTCAGTAGGAGTAATCATAAGAACAAGAATTCACACATCAAAAATAGTTATTGTTAAGTTCATGAAAATTATGCCTATTATAAAGGGCAATAATAATTATGAAAGAAAATGAGGTTCTAGAAAAATATGTAGTCATCAGAAAAAAGGGTTTTTCAAACAAAAAAAAAAATAAAATTAAAATTAAAATCACTACTGGTTTTCAAAATATGTCATGTACAAAATAACATTTTCTTTCATTACTTATCCAACCGTCCTCTCAATGACCTAATACGAAAGCCTTTAGTAGGGACTTTTAAAAAAATCTCTATTTTTCATTCCTTACATTTCCAGAGAAAGACAATGCAATTTTTGCCACCAAAAAGCCTACAACTGACACACCATGTCCAATACACAAGCCCTTTCCCTCTTGTAAATGTTTGAATTATGCCTAAAGGAGTTTGTTGCAATTATGCACATATACAAAGTCCTCTAATTATCAGCATTCTTTGTACATAAATTGTCCTTCTATTTCATCTTTAAGTAAAAATTTGGCAATAGAAATGTCATAATTGGTAATTTGTGATAATTTTTTATTCTTTGTTTCCTAAATGTTTATCACAGGAAATAGCTCTGGAAGCAAGCAACTATTTTTCAAGGAAGAAACTATTTATCTTGGCAAGGATTACAATAAGGCTTTTTTTTTCTTGTTTGGAGGATGAGCCCATTGGGGGTTTTTGTTGTTGTTGAAAAGAAAATAGACCAAGCCAAACCAAGGGAAAACATGGTAAGCTAGACAGAACCATGACTTTGAAAACTAATTTATCCCAATTTCTGAATAGGTTTTTTAAGTATTGCCATTAGGTTTTAGGTACATTAACACAGATAGCAAGGATTTGGGACTTGCTCCACATGGTCTCAGTCCCAGCTGCTACTGTAAATAAGTTTTAATTGCTAGAGAGTAGAATACCAGGTAGTGTCACATTGGAGGATGACTTCAGAAACAGCTATGGAAAAATGGATTTGAATTTCAATGTTACCTTGGGTAAATTGGGACCTAATTATTCACATTCAACCTTCTGAAAACCAGCGGTAGGATCAGGTAGTTTCACTCAGCAGGCAATGCACAGGAAGGTCTTCACAGTCCACCTCGAGATCTCCATGTCTCACCCATCAGAGAGAAAATCATGATAAGTAACAAGATGCAAAATTTTAGCTGTTGAAAGTAAGCTGATTTAAAGGCTGCCAATAAATAATCAGAAATTGAAGAATGATATTTAAAATGAAAAGGATTAAAAATGAGTGAAGAAAGGTAATATAAAAGGGAACTAAAATAATTAGATATTAAGGAAGATGGAAAAAAAATAGAACATGAAATAAGGTATAAAATATAACAGAAGAGAGGCTAAACTGGAAATAAAAAGCATTCTCTAGTTTTTAATGGGAAATAATCATAGAATGTTAATCTAAAACTCCAGAGGTTCTTGGAAAACCTTGAGAAACTATAAATCAAAGAATGAAGGGAAGATGGAAAGCAGGAAAAGCTGTAGAGGTAGATTTGGTTATGCTTCATGTTCATGCTGAAATTTCACAATTTTTTCCCCAATCGGATTTAGTACATGGGATTTGACTTAATTTTTTTTTTTAATACATGAAAAGTACAGGAATTGTAATTTTTTTGCGTGCTCTGATAGCAACTGGTGTGTATATAAGCTAGTGCAAAAACCCAAAAAATCCCCCAAAATGACAGCAACAACAAAACCCAAAACCAGAACTAATTATGAGAATGACATAAGTAGACAATAATGAAGGGAATGCTTTAACAGTATAGCTTTTAAGGCAATTTCATTGGTTTCAATGATAATGCAATGGTTTTAGTGCAGTGGCCAAATTTCTTATTATGTGTTGTATTAACTAGTCATATGGAGTAAGTTAAGAATGAGGTGGTAAATTTACTTTTGTTGGTTTAATCCAGACCTTTAACTTCACTGTTTTACATTTAATAAAATACATTATCAAATAGAAGCATGACATCTCCTTATGAAAAATGTTTTATCTACATAAAGGCAAATTAAAGAGCAGGTGGTGGATTTAGAAGAACCTGCATCAACTGTCATTCCATACCATGGAAAGAAATATTCTCATTGTTGGTTAGAGAATATCACAAAGAGTCAAATCCAAAGCTAAGTGAATCATTTCTCCTAGAATTCATAATTACTCATCCAGCGAAGGATTTCATTATGGTGCATCTGGGGTGGGATGAAGCCCTGTGATAGAGAAAAAATGAACACATTTTAAATCTGATTATATGCGAATATTTGAAAATTATATGTACCTTCAAAAATGTATTCTTATTAGAAAATTTTTGGAGCAGCTTCAATATTTTATCCTGTTAATGAAGGTAAGAAGGTAAACTCATGATTTCTAAACAAAAATCTCCTGGCGTAATATTTCAAGTATACCATACAAATACTCCTGAAATTCTGCAAGGTGGGTGCCCCACAATAGTTACCTATCAAGCTGTGCTGACTCCAAGGAAATTGCAATAATTTTTTTCTCCAACCCAGCTATCTGAATTATAGTCAGCATAGAAGTTCTAAGGCTTTGCAGTTTGGACAGTACCGGAGTCTGACAACACATTGTAAAATAAAGCTCTATTGAGACAGTAGAAAAGACAAGCAACAGAATGCCCATAAGGCAACTTTCACAATCCCTAATAGGAAACACAATCTCTAATAGGATCATAACTGATATCTTGTCTATGGTGGAGTGCCAGGGACACTTGGTCATCTGGCCACAACAGTCAACCATGAAAATATCTTTGGAATCTGAGTTAGAGTTGCAGCACCCCTTGGTTCCACCACTGGTTCCACCAATGGGAGTGAGATTTGGGAGAATTGTACATGATGTGAATAACCTGGGTGATATCCTGCCTGCAGTCCCTACCATGGTCAAGAGCACAGTGTCATCAGGCTGTCCTGTGCAGCCAATAGTAGTCAAGAGGCAGGCCATCAGAGTCTTTAAAAAAAGTGTATATTTGGTAATTGTAATACATAGATCAGCTTGTATTCAAGATGAGCTTTAAATTACCAATTTCTTACTCCAGGATATGTCAAAATGCAGAATAGCAGTTAAAGCCACACAACTCCTTTTAATGTTTACTTCTGAAGTAGCCATATGTCTAAACACCAGATTTTTAAAGTATTTCATGGCCTCTAGGTAAAAAAGGCACACCTAATAGGTTTTTCAAAAATACCCTGGTGTCTAGCTCTCATTGATTTAATCAAGGGTGAAAGACAGGAATTAAATGCGGAAACAGTGATGATAGAATTCCTTTCAGACTGTCTTATATAATTGTCATATCCTGGAGAACAGGGAACTAGCTCATACTTGAAAAAATAAATGTTTTAGTTAATTTTATTATGTTACTTAACATAAAGTTGCTTAGCTACCACAGTGGTATCTCAGAAAATCCTGCTTCAGGGAGCTTCACTATTTTTTTCCTTTTGAACAAACATCCAGAGCAGCACAAACCTCATTGTATATGTCATTTCAGTAATATGTTTCTGCTACCTTCCAAGATCCCTTTCATATTTTCTGTGACTTGTAGTTACAGTGCTAATTCAGACTAATGTTTTACCTCTGTGTCACTGATTTGTATTTAGAAGGGTATCCTCACCTTGTGTCCCTGTGAAGCACATGAATCAAGAGAGAACAAGCATTGTATTTTACAGAGGGAGTTGTCTGCCCCCATTAACAATGTACAGGATAGTATTTGAACTACAGACCCTAGGGCACAGCAAAACCCATGTCTCATTTCAAGTCAAGCCAAGGAGACCATATCACAGGGGAGCAGCTGGGAGTGTTCCTTAGAGCATCAAGGAGCATGATGTTAGCAAAAGCAGGATGAAAAAATTAACGAGGCATTTTGGAAAGAAGTCTGTACACTTCTGTATTTTTGCTTGAAAATGATAAGGGAATGGCTTTCATGAACAATGAGGTTCCCTCCATCTGTGGCTTTCCTGGTTAATTTTCCTCTACTGTGAAGGCAGAGACATCCTTCCAGAAGATGTAGCTAAGGAGGATGTGTGACTCTGCGACATTCTTCAAAGCTCAGTATTTTTTTCCTACTCAATCTGAGTGCAGGTCAGTCACTTTGCAATGAAGATAAAATGACACATTGGAAAACTAAATATAGGACTAACTTGAATAATTTATCTCTGTGTTTTTAAGGAAAGTATTACCATCTATTTTCACATTAATTAATTCATTTTAAGCAGGTAGTGTAGCTACCATTGTCTGTTATACAATTTCTAGCCAAAATGCATAGAAATGCTACCCATCTACAAAAAAACCTCCAACCTCAAAGAAAATACCTTCTACCTGTACAAAACACCTTCCACTTTTAATAAGCCATGCTGTCTAGTGAAATGATAAAACAGATGTGTTGCAGAAAAAGGAGTTATCTATCCTTTTCCCTGAATTCCACATATCTCATTCAAAGAGTTCGCTTTTGATGCATAGGACTGAATCAGGTTTTGAACATTTTGTTCATTAAAATCTCACACTGAATCCATCCCCCTCCACAAAAATAATAATAATAATAATAATAATAATAATAATAATAATAATAATAGTAATGTAAAACTTTAAAAGCCCCAAAGCTTACTTTGGTCAAGAAGCCAATATAAAAACCTCTATTTTCCTGAAGGAAAGCATATCTTTAGCACTCCAAATGACAGGATCCTTTTGCAGGTCATTTTGTGGTCAATGTTACTAAAGAAATCATGAGATTACTGCAACAGCTCATTATATTCTGGTAATGTGGCAATTCCCATGAGTTCCTGCATGCAATAAAATTCTGGATGGTGAGTCTGCTAGATTTACTGTACACACTAATCCAGACCACCTCTGTGGGTTTTGAAGAAACGGCACTGATTTTGCCATCACCATTAGCCTACCCAAAGCAGGACACTTCTATACTACCTCTCCATACTCACTGCCTTCCCTCTGTACTACTGCTCAGCTCTTTGCATTTTCTATTCATTTGAACTGCAGATTAGGGCAATTTTGCACTAGGTAGTCAATTTATTTCTCAATTTTTAATGGATCAAATTTACCTAATTAATTTAAAAAGCTCTCAGATCAATTACAAACCAATGGATGAAAAACATTAGTCTGATTCTGCAGCAGTACTGGAAGTGTTTGAAAACTGCCAGCAAATATCCTCTGTTACTGTACCAAAATTTTATGGTGAGGAGTATAGTCAAATGTACATGATTCAAAGTCTGCATGAAATCAACAAGAACTTGCAAGATCATCTAGAAAGAGAAATATTCTGAAGGAAAATAATTATGTGAAATGAAAAAAAACCCCTACAAACTGCTTGAAAGAACTGGAAATAAATTTCTTGCATCTTTTTCATAACTTTTCTCCAGACTAGATGACTGCCTCTTACCTTTACCTATGTTACATTTTTCAGGTTCATTTCAGCTTTAATGATCCCTTTTTAAGCCTTTTAATAGAAAATCTATTTTTGGAGTATTAAGAACCACCTGCTTCAATTATTCTGTGGGATGAAGGTAAACATTTTGAAAGATTCTTTTGCTCCATTTTGTAATTTATGCCTTCCTCTGATTCTCACATTTCTCCTTACTGTTGTTTTGCTTAACCTTGTCCTTTTTCAAGTCTTAAACCTGGCTCTCTCCAAACATTGATTTTCTGAGCTCCTTTATTCCTTCCTCCATCACATGCCTTCCTCAGCTCTGGCCTCAAGCATCTTTCCCATCATCTCTTTTCAGACCACTTCAATTTGGCTTTGTTCTCTGGATCTACAGGATTTTCCTGTCAGAGCTGAGAATGCATGATCCAACTGTAACTAAGTGGGGTAAGGTAATGCTATGCTTTTTTTCTTCATGAACTATATAAATTACAATTGCCGACCCAAACTTCTGCTCCATAATTTTAGATCCGTCTGAAAGAACTCCAGCTCTACATGAAACAGCAATCTGCAGTGTGTTTCATACTCTAAGTATCTGTGTCCAGATCGCAAAATTTCATATCTTTGGTCTGTCTGCACAGCAGCTAGAGGATTTGGTGATTGCAACACAGTGATACACCTGAGTTAG